TGTGTGGCCGCTACTGCTAAGCAGTCGGCGCGCCTAATCTGTCAGACGCTAAATACGTTTCCTTTTCCCGCTATATTAAGTTAAAGCCTCGACTGGGCAGTGGAACGCGGTTTTACGACGGAGCCATGTGACCATCACCGTTTCAGTTCGTCATCGAGGTACACAATGTTGCTTAAGTCGTCGTCGAGATGTAGCCATCCATATACACTGATCATGCCTGGCATCACTTATCACACTCATATGGTTTGTTTTAAAGTACAATGTCGCAAAGTGGCGGCGTTTCACTCTTTTTTCTGTGCTTCCCCAAATGGCCTAACCGTACATCTCTCAACGTAACTAAACAATTCGTCATTTGTAGTTTCAAAATCGACACGCTGTACACAGGCTGCGGTGCTTGTCAGTATATCGATAAAGAGTTTCTGGAGTACCTTAATAACAAAATAGCGCTGTTGTAGTGCTGGCCACAGGCTATAACACACATATGCCAAATTCTGAACTGCTCACGATTAATACTAACGTGTCGTTACCAAGTTCAAAGCTATATGAGGTGCTCTGGAGCTGACCAGGCAGGAAAACGATGACGTATGATATTGCTGTCATCGATGTGTACGTGAATTTGCTGTGACCGCGTTTTTGCCACAGCATTAAGTTGCCGGATAAGCAGACATAGACATACGGCTAGAGTCACTAAATATTCTACTCTTCGATGTAACGCCACGTCAGCCGTCTTGTTGCTTAAAGTCATGGTTTCCAGTGGTATGAAGCTTTTATCCGAAATCACAGGAAACGCTTTTTGTTCTCCCGATATGTTAAAACAGTCAACGACAAACAAAAACTACATCGTCTGAGCTTTCTAACGCTGCATCTTAAGCTCAGGAATTCATATTTTTAAGTCGTTACTATCTTTCCCTGCACCCGCTGTGCACTACTAAGTACCAGAATAGTGGTACCCACAGGATAATTGGCAAATGAAGTGCCGATATTGTAATTGTAGCTTGTCTAGTCGGTCTAAATACGGATTTGCGGATTATCATCCGACCTGTGCTTGTTGAGCTAAAACAACAGCAGATATGCAGAGTCAGCAATCGCCTTACGTGCGTCAGCGTGTTTTTTTTTAAATTATTATGCGATTGCCAGCTCGTTATTAAACGGCAAAAGGTGGCGTCACTGTCGGTTTCTATGTAATGCCTTCATACCAAGCGCCTCAGCAAACCGTCGGTGTTTCGTAACTCAACGACTATTTTAATTATTATACTATTTATTCAGTTATACTCTTCATTGAAATATCCGCACCTTGTGGCCAGTTTAGGCCAATAGGGTGTAAATAACAATAGTTATAATAATCTAAATATTCGGTCTAGTTTGTACCCGGAGCTCAGCAAGCTACTCCGCGGCGGTATGTAGAAAATTGGAGTTTAATAAAGTCATCCACATAATTAAAGGGGAAAAAGAAAAGCTCAAATGCAAAATAAATAAATGTTCTTTTTAATTTTAAATTATTTATCTGCGAGATACATTTTTATACCTCACGCCGCACCGCACACGTATTTCTCCCCGTGTCGTGTGGTTAGCTAAAGAAAGGAGACTGAATATACTTTTTCTTCATTCGCTTAGGGGCCATAGGAAACTGTAACGTTGAGAGTGGTCGGTAAAAATTGTACTTGGAAAATATTTTTGTTTTTTATTCTGAGCGTATTAGAAAAAAAACGCTCTGTCTAAAGATTTTTTTTTAATTTAAAGGCTTGCTGCTCCTAGATTGTGTTTTTGAATAAGGGTGAATGGAGGCGCGATTAATTAATTTCGGGGGGCTCTGGTGGATGTTTTATTCTGTTCAACCGAGTAGCTGTAATGTTTAAACTAGCAGATAGTAAATTAAATTTTACCTCGCGCGTGCGCTAAATTTGGAATTTGTATTAAAATATGTTAATTATAATCGCGAACATTTTATTTTGTTGAAGTATTTTTAGTGTGTAGGGATTTAGTTGAAATCCCACCTTTATCCAGATCCTCTCTACCGTTTGCTCCACCACCGTCTTGTACCGTGCTGTCAGTACTGGTTTCCGTCGTGGATTTGCATAAATTCATCAATTATGCCTCGTTCAAAGCAGTCTCGGCAGGGTCCTACAAACTTCTTGGATTACCCTGACACGTCTGGGCCTTTATGTATTCCTATATTGAAGTGCACTTAAAGTAGATGGCGACCCTCTGCGCTGGTGTGTCATTAATTAGCTTTCTAAGGATAACGGCCAATGTTTCCCTTGTTCCAGCGATTAAAAAAAAAAAAAAAAAAAAAAAAAAAAAACGTTAGAAAAAAAAGCGTTTTCCCCATATTTTTGTGCCCGATAAAACTGGTTAAACTTCGATTGACGCTCAACAAGTTTTATTTATTAACCAGTTCGTGTCCCATGTTGCACAATGCTCTCTATTCAAGTTGCTTGTGCGCTATAACTTTCTATTTCATGGAAGCTACAAAATGTTCAAAGAGACTACCCCTTTGTCATGACCAATTTGTAGCGTGTGTGCACGGCATGCATTATTCTTAGCTACTGAAAAGTAAAACTGGAAGATGTCAATTTTGTTCAATCTATTTTTGGCCTCCGTTTGTCAAGGGATGAGAAAAGTGCCGAGAAACTCTTATCCGACGTCTAACTGGGTGTTCATCTTAATTAAGAGGTTGATAATAATTTCAGTGAAAGGGTTAATCAAGTTGTTGTTAACAAAATAAAGCGGTAATAAAAGCTAAACTAAAAAACAAAACAAAAAACATGTGTTTGTTTAGACTGTGCATTTTGAAACGTTAAAAACAATGTACATTATTTAGAGCGCTTCGAACGAGGACCGGAAAACGTATAACTTTTTTTTTCAGCGATGTTTATACGAAGCGACGGCAACGGAACAACAAAAATAAACTACAAACGAAAAAAAAAAACATCGTCACACCTGTCGCTGTTTCCACTAACCAAAGACCAAACTTCTTTAGAGAGTGACCTCGCGTGAGTGTTTGTAAAGCTGGAGAGATATCGATAGGGGTCTCCGCACAAAACAAAAACTAACGTTTTAACTTGACATGCCTGGAGAGTAAGCATGGTGTAGTAGTGATGATTTTCGCCTACGAGTTGCTGTTGTCATATCTAATGAATGTGCCATAAAACATTCTGCATTCTCGTCGAGATTCTCAGGCTTCTGAAATGTTGAAACACAACACTATAAGGGGCTCATAAAATGCAGAAAGCAACGAAGCGTTTAAGCTAGTATAGGCAGCCCTTTTGTGCTCTCTTGGAGATGAAGCTTCCCTAAAAAGCTACACGTCAATAACGCTTCCTCTTCTGATTTTTGTTTGGAGGATTAAGCGGTGCCTCGCACAAGAATACTTGAGTACTGAAAATAAAGAAACAAAAGATAAGAAACTATTATGTCACAAAACAGGGTGAACAAGCTAACTCGTGTTAAGTTCAGTCTTACTGGGATATTGCCATATGCCATCTGACTTGACTTGACATAGCCCCAGTCCAAAAATAATAAAGTAGACTTGGAAGATAATGTATCTTTTATCAATTCACAGCGCGTAGCCTTGCTATCATCGCTTGCAGACGATCGAGAACAAAGAAAGAAAGGGATTTTGACATGCTACTTGTTCAGAACAGGCCGGGTTTACATTCACGGTATTTAGGACAAATTTTCAAAAAGGCCTAGCGTCGTGCCATGCTCCAGATGATGAAAACCTTTCGTGTTTTCTTAAAAGAAATTTTCCGACGATGCCGATCGTTCGAGCAACTATACCAGCTTTCGGAGACATTTGTGCGCATGTCTATTGTCGGGTTCTCCTTCCGAGCAAAGATGAAACGTGAAACCTCAGACTAGGAATGTGAGCATGAGCTAGATAGTCATAAGGTAGAATATTAAAATATAAAAAAAACAATAAAACAAATGTTTATATTCAAAACATGAGGCCACGAGGCTTTTAATTCACACAATTCATTCGGCTAAAAATAAAACAATTCTCGCTTTCCATTCGAACTCTACAGAAATAAGTATGTCAACCTACGTGTAAAAATGCTCAATACGATTTGGAGGAAATAGTTATGAATAATCAGTAGAGAGCTTTAGCGTGTTATTTTTTGAAGGTTAGATGCTGCTCCGGGCGCTTTCTTCGTAGCATGACTTGAAGTGGCAGCACGACCTCTCGATACCAGTGTCGTTTTACGTGAGTGCGATGTGGTCAAGTTTGACTTAGATACTGTTCCTCAATGTTTGGTGTACATGCTTGTCAAGAGGTTCGTATGAAATGAAAAGTGTTAAGTAAATAAAGGCAGGACATAGTGGAATATTAACCTTTTCTTGAAAGAAAATCCAGTATGAGGTAATAAGAATGTAATTGTGAGGCAGGATATTTTAAAGAAAAATCATGTATTGTGTCCAATTGGTTTGTTTGTTCGCAGGCATTGGTTGGCTCGGAGGCATATCTGTGTTGGGAACATTTTTTCTGCACTTGGTTGGTTGGAGTTGAGAGGATTGCGGTAAAATGTGAGGACCCGCGTCTTTGGGATGATTTTTGGTGGGCTTTAGGCTGGGCAAAGATCCTGGCGATGGCGCGCTGCCTTGGCGACTCTTACGTTTTGTCCCGAGAGCTGGTCCCGTTGACCGTAGCCTTGGTAGCTTTGTCCTGGTTAAGGTTGTGTAAACCAAGCGCCCAGGCCCGGCTGCCGGTCGCTGGGTGCTAAGTGGAACCCCGGCGTCGTACTTCCTAATTCGCCTTGCGCTAGTTCTCTGTCCGTTATCTTTCATTTTCTTGAAGTATACGCACGTCATCGGTGCGGAACACTGATAATTGCATCCTGGTATTCTAGAAACCAGACTCTTCCGTGATTATTTAGGGTTTCGATCGAGTATCTGCTCCTCTGGTCTTATTAAGCGGTTACTTTTTTAAAGTCTATTATACAAAATATAATGAATGATTACGTCAAATAACATGTAACTACCTCTGTCTTTGATTGCAGAAAACAATGGTGGTGTGCCCCAACGTCAAGCCTGTCCTTGTGAACGAGTCATCGCCATCATCGGAGCCGTTGATTGTCCAGTATCGCTTCGAAAATGACGAAGAAACCTTGATCCTCAAGCAGCAGATCGACACGCTCAAGTTCATTGCCTACGGTGTTGTGTCGTTCGTGATCATCGCACTGGGCATCGTAGGAAATCTCATCAACCTGATCGTGCTGACGAGGCCAAACCTAAAAGGAGTCACCTTCGTGTACCTCACATGGCTGGCCACGTCAGACCTATTGACGCTTGTCGTTGCCGTGTTCTCGATGTTGAGGCTGCATGGCATCCAGCCGCGCACGTACCCGGCCGCCTTCTATTTCGCCCACGTCGAGATGCCGCTGGTGAACGCCCTGATGGCCAGCAGCGTCTTCATTGTGGTGGCCGTCACCATCGACCGCTACTGGTCGGTGTGCTTGCCGTTGCGATATAGGGAGTTCCACAACTCCAGGTGTACCAAGCTAGCCATTATCACGGCCTACGTTGCTGCTGGTCTTCTCTACGTGCCAGTGGCCTTCCAAAAGAGCCCTGTGCCGGTTTGGGACGAACTCGCCAACCAAACTCAGTACATTCCGTGCGACAACGTGTACGTGTCGCGGCAGCCTGTCTTCAAGATCTATCTTCTCGTCAAGGAAGTCCTGGTGCGGATAGGTCCGGTTCTTGTGGTGGCCGTGCTAAACACTACCATCATCGTTACGTTTCATCGGTTTGTACGCAAACGTCAAAAGCTCATGAGCAATAGTAGCAATAGGGACACCGGAAAGGTTCTCGAGGACCAGCGATTGGTCATCCTTTTGGCTGCCATCGTCATCATGTTCTGTGTGTGCATGACTCCTGCTGCTGTCCTCACGGTGCTCATCAGTGACGACAAAGAACTCAACTACGGCTTCCAGTTGTTCCGTGCTATTGCCAATGATATGGAGATGGCCAACTTTGCCATGAACTTTTATGTGTATTGTCTGTGCAGTTCAGAAATACGGGACACGTTTCTGAGGTTGTTTCGACTGAGTAAATCATCTCCAGACGTCAGCTACATCCTCAACTCAAAGTCGCCCGCTGACGGAAGCACACACCTTTGACTGGACAGCGGCAACTTTCACGTGGTGTATGCATACTTGCCTAGTTGCTCTACTTTTTCCCGCCTTGTCGTCCAACTAATCAGACAGACACATTCATTGTGGTTGTGGACACTGTAAAGTCGCTAGGAAGGAGGTCATCCGAAATCCGACACAATGCTTGGTGTTGTTAACGCCAGACGATGCTTATGCTATGATCCTTATGAAATAAGAGCCTTCCTTGATGGAAGCTCACCTGCTTATGATTACAGATTTTAATATGTAAAATTTTTATCTGTGAATATTAATGCTGGTATTTGACGCTCTTCTTTCTAGCGGGAGAAAATTAAACATATATATTTTGCTCTGACTTCTTGAAGAGTTGGCTTCAAAGTGTATGTAAATCACGAGTTAATATAGAAGAAAGTTGGACATAAGATATATTTCTTACATATATGTTACAGATCCGGGACTATTGAAGGCGCCATCGCCTTGAGATAAGAAAAAATATAAAGTTAGTCACATGCTTCAGTTGTTTAAAATACTGGATCGGTGAGTGACTGGGGTATTGGAAGACTCGCACATCTTTTTCAACTGGCAGTCATGTTGTATGTTAGATTTTAGAATGTCGTTACGCTGGACTTGTTGCACTCAAAGTTGTCTCTTGTAATATAGATGTGTTTTGAGCACTTTAAGAAATACAAACTACCATAGTAAAATATTGGGAACAGGAGACTACTAATCACTTGCTTCATGGTCTCACATAGTGACACTATGAAATATTTGTTCGTTCTATGCTTCTTATTCCTTTTCATGGTTTGCACGTAGACGTATTTTACTTTCATAGTGAAGTGTTGGGTGTTAGTATTGGTATTTAGTTTGACAATGAGAGTATCTTCTGCTGCTAATATTGGCTATATCCCTGGAGGTGGTATTATAATAACTACACCGACCATCTTTTTGTTTTGTTTGTGCGTGTGTGGAAAACTGAAGTGAAGAGGCTTTGATGAGGAACATCATGCTCATGCTTCACTGTATGAAGCACTTTCCACGAGCATAGTGTTTAGAATCTTCTATTACGCATCAGGTATCCTGAACCTCTACGAACTATACGTGCAGGGTTTCGCCTTATTTCTTTGTTTCAAGAAATTTCTTCTGATACTACACGGATGTTGTAAATTAAATGTAAGTTCATCAAAACAAAAGTGAGTCCTGAGGCAAGAACGATTTTATGATAGGACACCAACTCCGCACAAGCGCACTTTAGCGTACCTGTCCTAACCTAGGTGTTACACTAGTTCTAGCAATATGTTACCTGAAATGACTTCAAAAGGCACACAAATAAATTTTGTGTTTTATTTATTTTGATGTTAATGTGCTGCTAGTATTAGTAAGTAGATACCGCGGTCATTTAGACGATTTGGAATAAACATGTTGTGCGTTGATATATTATTGCTCACAATAAAAAAAAAACTATGTACATACAGCAAATTTTTTGCTTCCACTATCCCTTCTGCTTTCAAAAGAACATTTTCCTTTCTTTTAGTTCTTTGTCTGGTAGATGAGCAAGTGTAAAAGTCATTGTCGTTTTCGGTCCTGATAGTACTATGGAAAACCACCATGGTCTGATTAATCTCTCCCTGCATCTGACAGAAGCGCATTTGGCTCATGTATTTGCAAGGAAGGCGAGGTCATTCGCAGGCTGTCCAATAACCTAACAGACAGCTTCACCATTGACTTTTTCTGTGATTTTATGTGCTCATTTCCAGCCAGTAGTGCCACACCGAGAATTTCAAAATTGAATGTCAGAAACATGGCTTGCAGTTACTGAAGTAATTTCTTTGCTACTTTTTTTTTTCGAGCTATCTCGTTTATATTAAAAAAGGTTTAAATTATTCAATTTATTGTTTTTTAACCTAACCAAAGTACTTCATTTATCTCAACACCGCAAGCGTCACACAAAAGCGGTCGATACATTAGAAGCTTCAATATTTTTGTATTGTAAAAAAAATATTGTTGTTATGGTTACAATGCCATATGTTTTATTGAACGTTTCTAGAGAGCAGTGATTTATTAGATTGTTCATTGTCATCTAAAAAAAACGAAGCTTACCGGACAAAGCTAATCAATTATTTGCCGAACTCGGACTCGACGAGACGAACAACTGTGGAAGATTAACTTACGCTTGATCACAATTCTCTTCTACTTGTCACTGACTGGCAAGCTTTTTAAATTAAATAAATTTTACGCTTCGGCTGTGTGGCAGCAGTGGTTGTTAACAAAAGTAATGAAGCCACGTGTTCATCAGCCTACCCGGAACGGTGCTTTTATACGTCATTGTACGAAATTAAAACGCACAAGCTGAGGAATCATCGGAGTATTGTTCTACGGACCATCCCAAAATTGGAAAACAAATCAAAGTCCATACAAAAGGCACAGCATATTATATTTGAGCGTATTTCTTGTTTCTCAGTTTGCGCTTTTTTGGTTTATATACACTGCCTGAAAAAATTAATTTCTTTGAGTTCAAACTCACATCTTACATATTCTAGGCAAATACCGTACTTGCAAATTAATGAACAAAGTACAAAGTCGCGGCGAATTGGACCCTCGCGATTCAGGGTCTCGCGTCTCTCTAGCTCGCGCCTCCTTTTGATCCCCGTTTCATCGTGCCAGATCCGCCTGCCTTCTCCTTCTCAATCCTCGCCTTCATTTCCTTTGACAAGTCGGAAACACGTCTTTATTGCTTCCTGCTATTGAATAAATGACAGCAATCCCATGTCTGCGTGTCTGTGTGTGTATATATGTATGTGTATGTGTATGTGTGTGCGTGTGTGTGTCTGTGTGTATGTCTGTGTGTGTGTGTGAAGGCAGGTGAGCGTGCGAAACAAAGGCACACGGGTGAGCATATTATACAGCCTTCTTTTTCTTCAAGCTGCAAGGACAAGGTGTTATTATCAAAAGAAAAAAAGAAAACAGATGGCCCTTCTAAAAGAGGTTTTCCTTTTTTCAATGAACGCAGAGTACAGCAGCGTCGTATTTTGTTCCGGTGAAATAGGAACATGTTACAGCTTAGGCTATACGAGAAATGATATTGCACTTGCATACCTCTTCTTAAGGCTCAAAGTCAAATTTGATGTATGGAGGTTATCACAGCGAAGTTTTATGTTAGCACCTGGGCTGACCTTCCGTGTGTGAATTCGTCAGTAAGTGTTATTTATGAAAGTAAAAACAAAGATTTGTCATTGCTGGGGTGAGCGAGTGCCCACGCTTAGCCTTGAAAGTGTTTTTTTTTGTCTTCTTGTTTTAGTTTTAGATTAGAATGACGGTTTTTACATCAAGCAAATCGTAGCTTGTGTCTCCGCTAAAGTCGGGTTATTTGGCCAGTGAATTAAATCTGTTGACTCTAGGGTTAATAATGAGATTGGAAAGAGCCAACGAAGTCACAGGGGCGTGCGGTGTCGAGCTACACGAGCGCGTCACGCTGGCGGCGGGAGGAACCACGCGAGGGCGGGCGTCGGCCGGTTTCGAGATTAGCGGCTATCAACATCCGACTATCCGGTCTTGCTATGTTTGATAGCGCTGACCTATTTTAAATAATTCGCCATAGAGTAATATAGTGTAACGTAAAAACTGGCCACTCCCGTAGGTCCCAGCGGCCCACTGGACCGTCAGCGTACCTAGCGGATGTTGTGAAGTTGGTTTCGGCGTCCTGATTAGGCGCTTGCGTTCACTAAATGGCTGTGGAGATGAATGGCTGCTATATGAATGAGTGGATAACCAATAGCGGCGATTCCGTTCGTATTAGGCGGAATTTTGCTCCACTCAATCTGCCGTGACTAACTATAAATTGAATTTAGGTAGGAATCGATTGCTTAAACGTACGAGTATGTTCTTAATTCTGCACCAGACGAGGAAGCATGCACGATATGCAACATAAAATTAAAACCGCTTCACTAAAGAGAAAAAAATAATGGGGAACAACCGAGCAATAGAATTGAGTAATTCAAAAAATATTTATTGTGGGCGCAAAGACAACAATAACAAGAAAACGACACTCTGCTTCCTTGTAAATGCGAGCAAAAGAAGAGCTACGAGAGCGAAATCGACGCTTTAAACGAACTTGTAATGCACGAACGCTCGTGAAGTGGAAGCGTCGTTCATGACAAAACGTTCGTGTTTGTAGAGTTAGCTCGCTCGAGTTTATGGGAAACAAAAAAGTGCTTTTCGGCGACATAGCTGCACACTCAATAGACGCTTGAAACATTTTCCACGTGGTTGCGGCTTTAACCACTTCAGCGTCGCCACAATGAAGGAACGAAGAAAAATCCCCACTCAACAGCAACACTACGCTGCATCCGGCCACCATCACACCGCCACCTTGGCTGCCATTTTGCCGACTTCCAAGTCGTGCGTATTGTCAAAGACCCATTTACAGTCATTGTAATAATTTCGAAAAAGTTCTAAGCGGTTGCTAATAATTTTACAAACATGTGAATTAAAGTAGAACTGTTCTTTAATGGTGTACAGATATGACGAATGCATGAATAACCAGGCCACACTGTGCCAGCTAGCGTTTGCTGTGAATCCTAACAGCTGAGCCGCGATATTGCTTCAGAGGCCACTCTTTAGGTATCGCTATATTACTGCATGCGTTCGCCCCCAAGGGCGAATGATTTGCTTTCAAACATAGCAAGGCCTGATAGCCGGATGTTGACAGCTGCTAATCGCAAAACCGGTCGTCACTCGCTTCGCGTGGTTCTTCTAGCTGCAAGTATGACGCGCGCGTGTAGCTCGAGAACGCACGGTGACTTCGTTGGATCTCTCTACCGTTCTACTTCAGACATTAGTGGTTACAGGACCGCTCGCGCCGTATGCTCTTCAATCAAATCAGAATAAACGTATGCGCGAGTCAAACCAGGAAACTTCCCATAGGCTCTGCTGTTCATTATTCGGTCTAATTAGAAATATATTTACTTTAGGTGAGTCCACGTGAAATTATTTTCTCCAGGCCTCAGTTACGCTAAACAAGCTTAAATGCGTTTCTTAATACAAAAAAAGAAAAGGACGCAGTGATAGCATTTCTGACTGCAACCAGTGTTGCAAGTGATAGTTTTTACGAGATGGAAGTTATAGATTTTTTTCAGCTTTCATTAGCTTCATCTGTCTGGAATTTTATGAGAGTTTTATGTAATCAAAAATAATGGTACCGTTAACGTAAATCAATGAATCTATAAATACGGGTTTGACGTGAGCGAAACATAGTAATTTGGCGGACCATCAGACCTTCTTGATGGCCCATAAGACTTCTTTGATGGTCCTTCATGTTGACTTGACGGTGTCTGACTGACCATAAAATAATTTCTCAAGGTGACTGACGGACCAATAAAAGCTTCTGATTGTGGTTGACAAACTACCAAAACGGTTCTCTTGGTAGCTCACAGACCGTCAAAACGTTTCTGGTGGTGGCTAAAGGCCTGGCCACACAAGCGTGAACAGCGCCGCCGGTCGGCGCCGCTGGGCGCCACCGCCGTCCGGCGTCCCAACGCGAGGAGTCCACATTGGCCTCCGTTTTGCGGCCGTCACATGACAGCACTGGCTCTCGCGATCGCGCGCGTGAATCCCGTCGTATTTTTTGCACTTTCGTTGTTTGCTCTTGGTTAGATTCTTCCGTTTCGGCTCTAATCTTTCGCGTATATCTGCATCGGAACCGGACTTGCTGCCTCCGTGGTACGTGTCCATGATGACCTGGTGATCAGCTTGAATGTGATTATCCTAGCCTGCTCGTTGATATTGCGACGTCGCCGCGCTCTGAAGGGAAGGAGGCGCAGGGGAAGGCTACTTTTGAGGGTGTCACCAAATCAACACAACATCCGTCACAACACAGACAACATGCAACAAGTGCCACGGAGAAACTCACTTGTAATTCCGAATCCCTCTCCTATAATCTCCCAGCGGTTGCTCTTAGCGTCCTTATCTAGGTAGTCTGGCCGCGTCTTGTAAGGTAAAAAGGGAAACAGTCGAACAGTTTCGAGGAACTGCTCTGTTTGGAAAGGCATTGGGGGAAATAGGAATAGCAGACGAAACGAAACGACGCTACGTTCCCTCGGAACGTGAAAGACGCGCGGAGAACCGGCTTGTGCGTTGCCATGGCATCGCAACGTCACTACCTACGCCGCCTCCTATTGGCTCCTCTCTTCTGCGGCGTGGAGCGGCGAACTCTGAACCGCCAAGGACCGGTTGGCTCTGCGGCGCTGTACGTCGCGCCGCTGAAGGCGAACACTGGTTTTGTTCCGCAGCCCGCGGCGTCCAGCGTCGTGCGGCAAGCCTCCGCAACATCAATGGGGCGACCATCGAAACGTTTCGATGGCCACAAGATTCTCTAGTCGAGACACTGGTGAAAACGTCGGCAAGGAATTCGGCGA